TCTTCTTATGGATTCTGCTTCAATGCAGGAAGAATATGCTCTATTAAATTATATATTACACACTGTGCATTTTTAATCCAATATATTCAAAACAATATTAAAATTCACATTTCTGACATGTACAGTTAAATGTACTAAGGCCTGATTCTCATTTACACTATGGCCTCTTTACAGTGCCATGGTGGTGTAAAGGGCCATTAGTGTGCATAAGAATCTGCCTCACTTATCTTTTGTGATCCTACTCTATAGTAACACAATCAACTCACAATTTCTGAATTAAAATTAGTATCAAGTGTGGTAATAATATTCCAAATCTATAGGAGGGAAAAACAGGAAATAAGCCCTAAGAAAATGTGCTGTACCCCATAACCAAATATTTAAATATTTCACTTATTTGTTAAAATTATCCACATCATTTCTGGCATACTTGATATATTTCTACATGCCTTTGTCTGCCATGTTAAGAGATCAAATTTTGTCTTAAATCAACTAACATGAAAAATACCGCTAAACAGTTTAATTCATAAAACAGTATTCTATACTTTTATTTTTCAAACAGCCAGTGACCACATTTAAAATGCATCATTTGCAAATATAAATTATCAAACTAATAGATTAATTAAAAATGAAAGCAAATAACGTAATTTCCTTTAGTATCACAATACATAAAGGGGTATTATAAACCCCAAATGGCTAAGTTAACCATAAGAAAACAGTAATGTCAGAAGCAATGAAACCCATTAAGCCACTTAATGAATAAATCAATTCTAAGAATACAATATCATTCACTATGACTATGCATAAAACCCATCTTCCACTGTATTATACAGGCACAACAATCCAATCGTTCATGCCATATTTTGTCAAGCAAAATTTAATTTACAATCACAGTCAAATGAATAGGAATAGCAACTTCCAAAGTATTTAAAAATTGTTTTTAAAAGAGAAATAAAGGCAGAAAAACGATCTTTTAAAATGTATTGTTAATGAAAAAATTCATTTGGCCAAGCCTGCTAATCAAGTAGTTTTATTCTTTTGATTTTAGAGTAACACAATGCACATTTCTTCTTTTAAATTCCCACTCAAGTAAACAAAACTCCCATTAACTTGAATGGGAGCAAGATCAAACACTAAGAACTAAACAATTCTGGTTAAATAACCTCCCTGCAAAATATTTTTCACCTTTCTGAATGGATTATTAAATTCAAATGCTTAGAGACTGCTTTGAAATGAAATAACCCTTTTATACTTGTTTTGACAACTCTCTCTCTCACACACATACACTCACACACACACACACCCACACCCACCCACCCCTTTGTCATGAAATCCCTGATTTCACAGGAACTAAGACTCATCTCCTAATTTCTATCAGAAACATAAGGAATATACAAATTCATACTTTTCAGGTTTATATAAAACCATCTATTACTTATATACATTTTTTTACAGATGGAACTTGAGTTTTGATTTTTTTTTATTTTTACTCAAACGGTAAAATGGACGGAACTGATGGTGTAGGTTAAAGGAATACTGTATTAACACTGAAATAAACCTATTATCCTGCCAAAAACTTAACTATAGGGTGTTGGTCTTTTTTTATTAGTTGAAATACAAAGAAGGCATATGGACTTCAGGAAAATAACACTATATCAGAAAATGCACTGTAACAGTGTTGCACTATACATACATACATACATACATACATACATACATATATATATATATATGTGTGTGTGTGTGTATTCAAAATCATCATATTTCCAGACTCAATTTAGCACTACATAGTATGCCCTTGAAATAAAAGGTCACCTGCTTTATTTGGATACGAAGTTCCCTTCCAGACAGCATTAAAATAAAGACAAGAGTACACAGACAAAATCCAGTATAATTCATTTCTGACAATGAAAATTCCCTCCATACTGTTGCAAAATTCCTTCTACTGAAACGGTTTTGCTACAATAATAAAAAGCATACATTACATATAAAAGATACCAGTGTACTAAAAGTGACAGAAGTGGACTAGCAAATCCTTCAAAGCACATATTATATAACTGACTAGCATTTAAAAACATTTCTCTTATAAAATGTAGGTCATTTACATTTATAAATCTGTGTTCTTTCTAAAGCAGTGATGACTGTGTTCAAATAGCTATGCCACACTCTACCATCCAATACCTAGTCAGTTCAAACTATAGTAAGTTTGACACCTTAATAACTGAATAAACCCATTTCATCAGTTGAGGATAACTCACACTTAAAAAATAAGCACGTAAAATGAACGTACAACTTGTAGAGTCACTATTTAACTGTATATGAATTATGAAGAGAACTATTCCTTTATATTGGAGCCCCAAGTCACATCAGGTCAGTATCAGGACTTAAGGACTCTGAATTAAAGTACAAGAATTGTCAGGAATCAGCACAGAAGCAGAAAAGTATCTCTCTTCCTTTAAAACTAAACTTTTGCAGTCTTCCTCATCTCGCAGAAGTGCAGTAAAGCCATTCATTTCTTACTGAAAGCGTGTACAGACGAAGTCATAAATCTAAAGCCTGTCTCCTCTGTGACTGAAATTGTGCTGTGTAAACAATGTTATATACTCCAACAGGAGGACAGTTGAATTTATTTATAAAAAATGATTAAGAATATTGATTAACTCAAACAAGGCTATTTAACTCCAAAACTATTTTTGGAACTATCCTTATGCTACTTGTAAAGTTAGCACTGTCATGTATTATTGCTTACATACAGTACAACATCATATGCCTTCTAACATAAAGCAGTACTGTGATCAGTTTGTATATATTTACAGCATTTTTGTGGGGGTTTTTTTTAAACAAGCTATAAAAACATTACATACTTTACAGACAATACAGATTTCCACACTGGTACTCAATTCAAACAAATGGAATGCATAACAATAATAAACATCATAAAGGAAGACTGACATAAGTCCTTGATTGTCAAGACACATTTATATTTATATATAAACTCTAACTGTGCAGAATCAAAGATTCAATCATAGGTACATCCTTATTTGATAAATCATATTTACAGCAAGATATTGCATAAAAAAATAAAATAATGTCGTTTACACAATTTTACCTTTCCATCCATTGGATTAAGGAAAGCAAGAAACAACTCTTAGAAATGTTTGCTCGCCTCAATTTGTGTATCCTAAGAAAAGAAATAGTTTTTAAAAGGAAACATAAGGTTTTTATATGCAGAGTATAACAAAAGCAACTATAAAATTTATTTCCCTGACTTAAAGCAATTTAAAACTGAACAAAAGTTCAAATTTAAACTTAAAGGTGTTTTTCATTAACAGTAATACTTTCTTAGTACAAGTTCTTTGAAAAAGTGAATTCTAGTTTAATGTGTTACATGCTTAACATAAACATGCACCAACATAAAATGAATGAACTTTCAAAATTACAAGGCTTCCATTTAGTAGAACTTTTAACACTAATAAAGCATAAAATTATTATTTTGCCTCAGTATTGACCACATAATTTGAAAGTCCACAAGTGTATTGGTACCAACTCAAGTAACCATAGCACAAGCATATGTCTCCCTGCTAAAGTTTCCAAATGTATTCCAGGAATATTAGGAATTTCCCTGCAATTTGTAATGAAGTTAATTTAAAAAAAAAAAACTAACAAGAAAATTCAGTTTGCAAATTTACATACACAGAATAATGAAATACTGCAAAATTCAAAGTAGATTATTTGGGTCATTTTCAACTTTTTGCTGCACATGAGGCTAACTTAAAAATAATCAAAACAAGCACAGAATATATTGTTTATATCCAGATTTTTCAGAGGGAAAACCAAACATTTTTGAAAAAGCCACAGTAGAACCCCATTAATGCACGGTAATGACTTGGAAAACCATTACAAATGACTGAATTTTGAGAAGTAGCAAGTGAGCAAGCAAACAAAGGCAAGAATATCACATCACAAAATGTACTTCGTTCATTTATTGCGACAACTGTAGTTAGTTTCCATTATACTACTTCAGAGTATACTAATAAATGTTCTGTAGTATACTTGGTTGAAGTAACAGACTTATTAAAGTGAGACTTCACTACAGTACTTTACTATTAATACTTTGCAGAGTCGGGAGAAAGCAGATTGTATGTGTAAGAATTAGGGGGTGCGTTAATTAGCAATCAGCGAATTAGAAAGATTTTATTGTATTTCCCCTTTATCACTGAACTGCTCCCTTTCTCCAAAACATTGACAACCTACAATATAAATATAAAAAGTAATAAAAATGTTAAACAACCATGAGTATTTTAGGGGTTGTTGTATTTTCTTCTTGCACCATAATTTTCCCATAGGCAACACCAGGAAACACACAGGACCATGAAAAAATTCATTTTAAAGTCTGATTTAAATTCTTCATATTACTGTTTATAAGACCAGTGTATAGTAGTACACAATTCTATCCTCCTCTTCAAACTTTATCATTTATGATTAACTCACTCTCAAACCAGTACAAGAAAATGTAGATGCTTACTAATATACCATTGCAAGCCAATTCCTTCATTATTAGTTATAATCGTGGTAAAACATAACAAAGGACTAGTGCTCAAAGGGACACTGTCAAGTAATTTAGGCCCCAAATACTATCTATTTAAAATTATTATTGTCTGGGAGTAAATGCCCTAAATTTTCTAAATATATGTTTTTCATTTATCCTTACTCTGTCACAGAAAAAAACAGCCATAAAAGATTCCACCTTACACGCGCACACATCCACACCTTTCACAACTTCTAAAATAATGTAAGAGCTTCTACTGTTGGCTTGCTGGGATATAAATGCTATTCCCAAAAGTGTGCTGGCTTAATAATGCTGGTACATGAACAATGTAGCGAAGAAAAAGTCATTTTCATTTTTAGTTCTTTCAAATACATAGGGGGCCCAGATGAGAATAAACATCTGCCAGATCAAAAGGGGGGAAGCACGTACATATGTGTGTGTGTGTGTGTGTGTGTGTGTGTTAGGATGTAAAACAATAAAACATGTTGAAGGGAAAAATATTTTTTTAAATGATGAACTTGTTAAAAATACAGGCTTATCTAGAGAGGGAAATTTACTGGCAGAACAATACTGGTATAACTACAGCAACAAAATCATATTGGAAGAATTCTGCTGGTAAATTTCTCCAGGTAGAAAAAGCCTAAGTTTCCACGGATTAACTACTAGTACTGCCTCTATCTATATGTATAAAGTAAGTCTACAAAATAATCACCATGGGACAGAGTGGGGACTTTACATCTTGCCCTACGTCACAGAGCACAGCTGTAATACCCCAGGAACACACCAGAGAATGAACTGTGACCCTGGGAACCACAATTCCTCCTCTGGGGAGAAGCAAGTTATTTAACCCATTGTGTGAAACACCTTACTCACCACTATGCACAAAGTTAACTATTCTGGCTAGTGTGCAGAGAGAGTGGAGCCAAGGTTCTCTCCCCCCCCCCCCCCCCAGCCACTTTCTCACAACAGAGTATCAGCAGAGTAGCCCCTGCCCTCTCCAACATAGCCAGTCATCAATCTGGCAAGGACCGAGTAGGCCTTACTCCCTCTTATTTCCCTGTGTGTCCAACTAAGTGCTGTAATAATCTAGCCCCAAGGGAATTTTCTTAAAACAATGGTAAATAAATGGACATATATTTGCAATGGTGGGATATTAAACCAAAGATGCCGATGTAGATCTAAGGGGACAGTGAAAGCTAGGATGTGACGGAAGTAATATTTAATGGAAATGAGATATCTGCTTCATGATAGGCTGTTTCTTGTTGTGAGTTAGGTGCCATACACGTGTGTATGTCTATGCACGTAGGACAGGAGACTAAAACAATAATGTAGAAAAAATTCAAGGGACACAACCAGGTTAAAAATATTCTCTTAAAGATGTTTCCTTATGTATCACTAATATTGTACAATGATTTCGCTTTTCTCTCTTGATGTTTATTTTTCTACTTAACTCAGGGCCAAATCTTCAGACCTGTTACTGTAAGAAAGTGGTAGGGTATATAACCCCTTGCAGCATCATAAAACAGCTGCACATTGGGCCAATGAATCCTAAGAATAGTTAAGGCCATCACAGGGCAATAAGAATCTGGTCTCACTGTATACAAATGAGTTATGCAGGAAGCTCATGTAAACGATCTCCCTGGCCACTTGAGGTGCAGTCTATGGATTCCAGATGAACTTTCTTCCTAAAATGGGCCCAACGGAGTTACTGCAGCTACGATGATGCAAAACAATAATATGTGGTTAGTATTTTGGGAATGGGTAAGTTGCACTCTCCCACTCCTCGAGTCTGCTGGCAGGGGAGGGTGTTCTTCAGTACGATGGGGCTCAACCTCCTCTCCGAGCTGATGGTTTCATTTGAGAGATGTCAGCCAAGGACAGTGCTGTAAAGGGATGTATGCATCCTTATCTGTATCCCCACTTAATGGTTAATCAACCCACAATATTAGGTTTAAACTGCCTTAAACTACCTGACCGTGTATCCTCTAGGGAAAGGTGCAAAAGAATGAACATAAAGTTCAAAAATTTAAAATTGTTAACTTAAACTATACAACACATTTATGTTATTCCAATTTCACCACCTTAAAAATGCACACAGAACTATTTATCGTACCTTACTGTATACTTCAAGCCAAAGTACTATTAAAAAAACATATTCATGGTACAGGGATAAAGTTTGCAGTTTATTTATACTGTGAAATGCAACAAAAGCTTCTGATCATTCATCTATACTGAAAAAAAATTCTGTTCACTAGCATTAGTCAACAGTTTTGGTTGGTAAAATTGTAATGAACATTGTTCATTAAGAAATCGCTAAAAAGATATGCAATTAGAAGGCCCACTTCTTCAGCTTATTGGGATGCTTTAGTATGTTTAATTATCTGAATTGTCAAAGTTCTAGATAGAGAAAATTAAACCAGTTTTTACAGAAGCTAAGAAATTCCAATCTCATTTTATATTAAAAATATTAATCAGTGTTGTATGAGATGATAATGATGCAGCCATATCAGACCTAAAAATCTAAAATAGTTTTTATTCTTTGAGAAATCAAAAAATATCAAATAGAATCTAAGTGCTCTTTGTTAATCACTGTGAATATGCAGGGTAAAGTACAATTAAGCTTTAAAATCTTGGAATACACAATTTGTGTAAGCTTTATGTAATCGGGAATGTAATCTACAGAGTATTTTAACTAAAACTTCAAAATCTTGATATCTGCATGTGAAAGAATCAAAAAGTTATGTCTAGGTTCAACTGTACAAAGAAATATGCAACACACTTCAGGACTGAAGTAAATGCATTAGCAGACATATATTTTGCTAAAAAAGTTTTTAAAGTATTTTAAATTAATTAGACTTTTAAATAATGGAGTTAGTCTATCAGAATTTATTATTACTTTTTTCCTCCAAAACACAGCTCAGTGTAATGCAAAGCAAAAATAAAGGGCATATGGCATATACTTCATTTTAAGAAAGAGGGAAGAAAGGGTATTTCTATAGAATACACCAATGTGGTTTAGCCATAATCGCTTGACATTTAAACTTTTAGTTTATTCTGTTTACTATATTTAGGTTCCCTACTGAAGAGCAATGACTACACTGACAAGCTTAGAAAATGACAATATGACAATTACTGTTCTCCCAAGAACGTACAATGAAACCAAATAGGAAACTAGTATGGGAGGAAACCTTACCTGGGGTTTTTTGTTTTGTTTTAAATTTAAGTGTATGTAAAAGAGCAAGTTTCTGGTCTCGAACAAGTGAGTAATAAACTGCCTTTTATAGGGGAGACAACATGTAAGGCAGTTCAATGACTGGTGGACTAACCAAAAATGAAGTTATTGATCTTGCTATATCAGCTTACTTTTGTTATAACACAACGTTCTTAAAAGCTGTACAGCACTCCATCTTATACAGAGCAACACCACTCTTGACAGATCTGTTCTAAAGTGCCAATATTATTTACAAAGATTTTCTTAGCCAAAAGTCTGGCCCGTTGTGGCATCAGGTGAAGAAGTCATCCCAGCTCTATTATCATTTACATTCACCAAGGGAAATTCAGGGAATTCAGCACTTGTCCCTGGCCCTCGCAGGTTCACCTGTCCGTTGGCAGTGCTAAACTGAGGTGATATTCCAGCTCTTGCTCCATGGTATTGAGCTCTGAAGGGCTGCTCAAAGGAGCTCATTTGATAAGCCTGATGGACAGGCTGTGCCTCTGCTTTCTTCTGAGAAGTCACTTGATCCAAGAAGTCCTGTGTAGAGGAGGAGGAAGAATGATTTGCCTCATCACCTGAAAAGGGAAAAGAGTGCTGGGAATCAGCAACCATTAGTCCAAAATGAGACTTGTCTGGAGTTGTTCTTAATGGAGAGTTCATTCCCGATCGAAAGCTATTGACAGGTATAGAAGCATAGACCTGTTTGTCTATGGAAGAGAATGATGGCTGGTTTGTAAGAGTCTGGTTATCAGTCACAAAATTAAGGCTTGGGTTGTTCAAATAGGCATCATTTTGGCTAGTTCTGTCCAACGCTTGCTGTAGAAACTTTGAATATTCTTGTAACATACTGGCTTTATCTGATGAGGAAGCTTGAGAGCTTGTTCCAACAGTTTCAGACTGGGTGACCTCAGATACTTCAGAAGAATTGATTGATATACTGGAGGTCACCTCAGTATCTGTCACATTGAAAGATATTTCATGTTGTCCATTAGCCTTGTGGGAATAATGATCTAGTAGGGTTTGAAGCACCTCATCTGGGATGACATTTTTGTCATGGTTACTTTTAATTTCCACATTCAGTGCCTGTGAATCTAATATGGATGCTGTGGTACTTTCATCGATGACACTTGCTACAGCTGCCTGTGTTACTGAAGGTTGAGATGCTATAGTACCTACATTCAGGGCATATTCTCTACTATTATTACTAGCCGCTTGCAGATACCTCTTTTTCTTTAAAAACTGCATTGCGTCATCATAATTAGTGCTGCTGTGTACAGGTTTACTGGGTCCTTCCTGTAAAGTATCAACTTGGTCAATGTCAGCATTACCATCTGCGTCCAATAAACCTTGTTTATCCACAAGATCAAAGGCATACTTTGAAACCTTGTTCTCTTCATATGTAGATAAAGGTGAAATGGTCTGACTTTGCTCAAGTGGCTGTTTTAGACTTCTCTTACTAGTAACTTTTTTGAGAACCAGTTTAGGTGGGTGTATTTCTCCAGAATTTGCATCTTCTAAATGTGACCCACTGACAGAAGAATGTGGCATCTCAACAGCATATTCTGCCACCATATATTCATCCTTTACTTTAGCACTGGCAGAGTACAAAGGCAAGTAGTCATTTTTATCCTTCTTCTGTTCTGATTTATCTCCAATTTCCTTGTCCACAGACTTTACTTTCTCTGTTTTCTGCCTTTTCTTCTTTGGCAAGGAGCTGTCTTTCATCGGTGTAGAGAAGCCAGGATCTTCCTCAGATGTCAAAAGGCCAACTTTGGTGGCACTTCTATTAGGTTTCTTGTCACGGCTCTCATGGCACATACGTTTATGTTTCAGCACACGGTCAGTCCTGGAAAAGTACTGTAGAGGATATTTTAAGTTAGAGAAAAATATATAAATAAGAAAAGCCATCTTTGATTGTAAGTAATTTACTCGTTAATTCACACACAGTTCAGGCCACTTCAACTGAAGGCTGCCCTACAACATACATTCAGTTTGCATTAGTATAATTTTTTCTACATCGATTTGTAGGCTTGTCAGACTTCAAAATTTAGAGAAATTCTTATGTGTATTACTTTAGAATCAGGTTTGTTATTTCAGTTTTTAAAATGATGTGAATTATTTCAATTAACCATCTTACCTGCAAACAATATTCACACTGGTAAGGCTTCTCCCCACTATGAGTTCTCTTGTGCCTTTCCATATGATACTTCTGTATGAACCTCATACCACATTCATCACAGCGAAATGGTTTTTCACCTAAAAACAGTCATTATATTAAAATATAGTTTAAACAAAATAAAAACAGAAAAACATACAGTTATTCCATACGGTAACGTTGGCAAATATTACTAGCCTCTACTGGAAGTAACGGAGAAGAGGATTTAATATGCTCCTGTTGAAAAGGCAATCTGTGTTCGTTCATATAAGTCTCAATTTTCCCTAGTACTCACTAATATGTCAAGAATACCATGAAGGAAAGCAAAAAGGGAATATTATACCAAGAAATTCTAATTAAAAAAAAAAGGGGGAAATTTTAAGTAACCAGTTTCTATTTCCATCTCTGTTCCCTACGTGCAGATATGTACTGTAAATCCATCAAAGTGTTACCAAAGATTGCATGGACAGAAAAATATATTTCAAGATGAATTGTTGCCAAAAATACATATTTAGGACAATGAGAAGACTGTACTGATGACAAGGCCTACATTCTTTCACCTTCCTTGCACCATTTGACTCCATTTTCTAAAAAAGAAATTTAAATTTTCAAGATGTCAGTGGTTAAAAATGTTTAAAATATTTGTGTAATTTTCTATAGTTCTCCCTCTTCTTTCTCTCCATATCTGTATGAAAAGCTGAAATAATGGCCCTAAACAATTTAAGCATTTTGGTTTGATTTCTAGAATAGTTCCAATAATAAGTAAAAGGCACGTTCACTTGACCTTTTCTTTTTGTAATTAAATATAAAAACAACAAATCTCTGTAGTTAAAGTCATTCTGGCAAATGGAAATGGAAGTCTTTCCCTTTGTCACATTATTCATTTGTTCAGACACCATATTCTGAATGCTACTTCCACTCCAGTGCTACCTATACGTCTCGCCTAATTTGTTCTTATTTAAAAATAAACAAAATTTACAAAGATCCATTCACATTATAAAATAACCCTGATTATCTCTCTTTGTTTTAACTTTTGTCTTTTGCTATCTCCATTGTCTATGTTTGTCTGATGAAGCCTAACAAAAATCTACCTGTCTTGCAGAGTGTCTCTCTTTTACAGGAACTCACTGTTATTTAATGGAATTCACCTGAAGAGCAGGACATCTCTTGCATTATAGATGTAATATTAAGGCTTCAAGACTGTAGAATAAAGGCAGAAATCTTGTCTTTTTAATAACTGCAAAACAATCTGCAAAGCTATGGCACATAACTCTTTATGAATGAATTAATTAATTAATTACAAAAACAACAAGGAGTCTGGTGGCACCTTAAATAAATTTGTTAGTCTTTAAGGTGCCACCGGACTCCTTATTGTTTTTGTGGATACAGACTAACACGGCTACCCCCTGATACCTAATTAATTACACATATTCCCATATAAACTAGTTTTTTAAAAGGAAAAAATTACTGAGATCCTGGTATTTGTCCAGGAAAAAAGTTCCATCTTTCATAATGAAGAGAGACTCGGGCAAAATTAAATAAAAAAAAAATAAATTAAACCAGTATCATCTTGGCCAATTGGGTATTATAATACAGAGTGAATTCTGTATAGATGTAAATCTCTTCAGGAAATAGGAATTACAGTATCTAGACATAAATAATATAGCAGTCCTACCACTTCTCAATAACCATATCTAAGCCTCTGCATTTGGAATGTGGTTATCGTTTTGTTCTCCAATGTCAAACTTATTTATTGTTGATGTGACTGATTGTTCTTTTTTCTGAATATTTATTATGCAATCTTGTGATTTAATGAGATAGAAAACAGGGATTCTGCTGACAGCATCTGCCAAAGTGGTTTTGGTCCTGGAAAACAACACAATGTTTTTTATTGCAGACAATACTGGCATCCTTCCTTTGTTTCTAGAAGTAAGGTTTAGATTGTTCCACCCTTTCCATCTGAGGTTATGTGACACTGTGTTATCTGTTCTCATTATTACCAAGTTATGAATTTATTGATATTCAGAGGTATATTTTCCACTCAATATAGAGGAATTTAACCACATCCCAGTACTAATGTAAATGAGGGTGGCATGGCTAAAGCCTCATATAAGACACTAAAATTGTATAGTACTGCAGTTTTACGTCATTATTACTTAGAATTCCAAATAGATGATGCAGAATTAAAAAAAACTGTATACATTCTATGTAACCTTTCTTCCAATATCCATGTAGTGAACAGATTCTACATCTACTATAAGTAGCCTACTATTGAAGCTTACATTTTAATTTTCTGAGTATTATTATTCTTCAATTATATAATTAGACACACCTACAATAAAACCATGGAAATTTGATTCATAGAAACTAGAAAAGAAAAGACCTTTTTAGATCATCTTATTGTCTCTCTTGGTGACCCCATCAGCTACCACGGTTTCATCTCTCACCTTTATGCAGATAACTTCCAATGCCAGCTACTGAGTCTTGCATCTCCAGTGCTTCTCAGATACCTCCTCTTGGATGGCCTGTTGCCATCTCAAATTTATTCTCTCAAAAACTGAACTTATCTTCCATCCTGAGCGCTCTTTGCTGCTCCTTCCCCCCAGGCTCACAAGCTCAGTATCGTCTTTGAGTTCTCTCTTCCTCCTTCCACATCTAGTCTCTTGCTAACCTTTGTTACTTCTTCCTTTTTAATACTATCACCAAAATCTGGTTTTCTTCACTACCCACTTGCTCATAACGTGGTCATATCTTGTATTGAATATCATACGTTTCTCCTCTCTGGCCTTCTAGCCTCTCCAACTCCAGTCTACTCAGTTTAGCCATTATTAAAATGATCTCTCGATCTCTCTCCACTTTCACTGTAATCAGATCAGTACTTTCACACTTATTTATCTAGGTGTTTATACCACTTTTACCATACTATTGTATTTTTGCCTAACCTTCTACCTGCTTCTTGAATCAAGTTCAAAAACTTCACCTTTACCTTCAAAGCCCTAAAAATTTTGTCCCATCTATATTTCTGCTCTAGTTTTAAACTCCATATCACTCCCATAATTCCCTATCCTGCTTTCAATCCTTTTTCCTTGCTGTTTCCTTTTCCTGTTTCCTACCATTCCCAATTTTGTGCTATCACATTGTCCCTACTTTTGGAACAACTTCCTGCTTCTTGTCTACCAAATGTCCTCCCTACTGTCATTTAAGTCCCCCTCTAAAACCTAACTCTGGGGTTGGCGCAAAGGTGGCTTTGCCTCCCACATTTTGGCCTCCGCAGCCCAAATGGGAACACTAGAGAAAGCTCAAACTTATTTTAGCTTTAACATCCCTGTAGAAGTCATTCTGCCAACCCGTAAAGGCTGGAGCATAGAGTGCTCTGTTCACACGCTTCTCACCCCTAAGCATGCCCCAGGGGCTCCATAAATGGACTGTTGTAGAGCCCTTACACTGCTTTACTCTAACTGGGTAAGCCCTCGGCGGGGTGAGATGGGGAAATATGCTGATAGGTTACACTGCCAGTTATCTGTCCCCTTTACAACATTTGAAAAGTGTGAATGGGTCAGATCATAAGAGAGAATTTGGGGCCTTTGCGGGTATACACTAAGTATTCCTTCAAATCTAAACATTATTTCTGTCTAGATCTTGACTGGAAACAGCAGGAATCTTGATTTGAATAAACTATTCCCAAATGAGCTGCTACATCTAGGAAGATGATATTATTCAGCAGAGTGGCATAATGTTCTTCCAGATAAGATTAAGAAATGCCTTGTGAAGGTGAGTCTGTGAAGTTAATACCACGGTTAACTCTGGTTTAAATCTCTGTAAGGATGAGTATGTTAGAAAAGTATTAAAAATGTATCAGAAAATTCTTCTAGTCTTAAGATGATCTGATGCCTACTGTAAACCATTTTACAGAGCTGAAATCTGAACGTAGATGTTTTTGTAAAATTCTATCCAACTTCTGAACCCGGACACATTATGTGAATTGATAAGATCATTAAGACACAATCTTCTTCTTTAAACTAGGGAAAGAGTGAGGACATATTTTCCTTAACTGGGTTAATGAGTGGGAAAAGACTGCATATAGCAGGAAAGGAATAACTTAAATGGAATGTACAATATATTATGCAGGTTATTGATCTAAATCGTATAAAAGAAAAATCATCTCAGATGTTTTGGACATGTCTGTACTGGAGGTCTGTTAATATTAATTCTAAAATGTATTTATAAAGTGCAGCTACAAAGAGTAGTGAACAGGACGCTTAACAGTTATGCAAGCAAACCCCTAGGAAGAGCTTACAATCTAAACACAAAATTTAGACAAAGGAGTAGAAAAGGCAAGCAACATCAAAGCAGAGTGATAGAGCAATTATGTTTGGCAGATGTCTTGTTAGTCCCAAGACTATTTTATCTATTTTTTGAGGTAGACTTTTTTGTAAAATTCTATCCAACTTTTGAACCAGGACACATTATGTGAATTGATAAGATCATTAAGACACAATCTTCTTCTCTTAAACTAGGGAAATGTCTACTCAAAATGTGAAGTGAGCTGGATTAAAGAATTAGGACGTGAGGCTAGAACGCAGAGGTAGGGAGCTGGTGCAGAAATCTCCATCAGTGAAAACAAAGCAGAAGAGATTTGAAGAAAGCCTGTGGTGTTGTTCTCTTCAGGAGCCAGTGACCTAAGAACACCAAAGTAGTAGTCTACTTATGATTTTCCCTCCTCCCACAAATTGAATGTTGATTCTCAGTATCATTAGCAACAAGCAGAATAATAAAAATTACAACTAGCAGCTGCTCTTTATGGTTATCACCCTCTTCCCGAGTGTGGCTGTTTCTAGGTAACATGATTTTGTATTAATGCAACTTGTTAATTGCCTACACAGAATAAGGGCTGTTGAATGATGACTTCCTACCTTCTTTGAACAGTATTTAATTTGAGGCAATAGTTCCAAGAACAGAAACCATACCTACTGCTACTGGTTGGAGCACCTCTAAGTTCCCTGCTTTTACAAAGATATTAATGGGACTACTGACTGTGTTAGTGTTGTCTTCAGCAATCTTAATACAGGTAGTTGGAGAATGGATAAAAATCTTAAAAAGGCAAAAAAACATTCTGTTACTATTTAATCTTTTGAACACTGTACCAAAGTTGAAAAACAATATAGGATCATTTCACTAGCAATAAAGACAAATCAGACCCACTGCATTTGAGGGTTGGGAAATGAAGAAAACCAAAACTGTTTACAAAAGAGAAAGGGAGAGCTAGGCAGAAATACTTCCCATGGATTCTCACCCTTTACAGACTATAAAGAATCTATGGCAGTACTGAAGTTGAAGTCCAAGGAAAATACTTTTTTTTCCCCCCCCCAGAGTAAAATCATGGAGACAGTATTCACCTTCTAGCCCTAGAAGGCAATCTTAAAATGTAAATTATTTGGAAGATCCCAGTATGCAACTGTTGAATAGCATACCGCAACACTAGACAACAATTTAGGACCAGTGGTAAAGAATACCATATCTAAATTAAAATACAGAAGGATTTTTAGGTATGTAGACTGTAAGGAGCCAAGCTAAAATTGGGGCAGGACACCAAAATCCACAGATTATAAAGCCAGAAAGGACCACTGTGATCATCTAGTCTGGCCTCCTGTATAACAAAGGTCCAGAGGTTCCATCACTACATTTTCTATTTATTTACTAAATGAACTTTAGAAAACTTTTTAAGACAACCAAAAAAAGTTCTTTCCTTTTTTTCAAATAAGCCATATAAATATAATAATCACAGCTCACTGGGACTTGTTAAGATTGCAAGGCAGCCCCTACTGACTGCATGCTCAGTAAAGCAGAGAATTACCCCAGTGGAGATTGTCCTAAGCACTCATTTAACTGTCATCTGGGAAACACCAGTGTTCTAATGGTGTTAGAATCCTCTATTGCAGTTCCAAGAGAAAATTACCAAACTATGCAAGTCAGTAGGAGGCTGAGGAGAGGGGGAAAATATTTTTCCAAAAGTTCAGCAAACAGTAAGGTTAATTTGTTAAGACTGCAGTTTTTTTCTCTTATACACAAAAGACTAACACACCTATTCAAGAGTTGCCATAAACAAACAAACCAACACTAAAAGCAACATAGCAGCTTTCTCTCTAGGGCTGGAAATGTTGAATTTCAAAAATACTGTACTAGTGACATTTATATAATGCTTGTACTTAGCTCATTTTCGAAGCTATCTACAGGGAATAATCTGCAGAAAAAATGATTTTGCAAAATGTGACAACATGTAAACCCTTTCCTGCTTTCTTTTTTCTTTTTTGGGGGGGGGGGGGGGGTGTGTGATCCATTCTTGACAAGAATAATATCTACAAAGAGTGAAGGCAGCAGTTTCTCCAGAGTGAAGTTCACCAATTCAGAGCCAGAGGAAAAACTAGGAATAGAGCAAAGCCATTGGACAGAAAAAGAATGTGGGACTTTTCTGTGGCTGACTGGCCAAAGGAAACCTACTAAGTCTGGATTCATGGCAACATAAGACACAGAAATCCCATTAACAACAGGGTACTTGTGCATGTAACTCTCTGTACACTGCTCAAAAATTCATTTAGCAGAGTTTTTAACTTTCTCAACTTTCATACACACACCTTCACATTAGTAGCATTCATATCCATTTAAATGCTACAGCCAAGAAACACTGTGCACATTCACCAGCTCTGCTTTTCTGTAAAAGAGGCTGAGAAATTGGCATCCAGTCCAAAAGGACCATATCACAAAATATTTACAGAGGGATTGAAAGGCCATGCACCAAAATGCCAAAAACCCAATAAAGCCAAACCTGTTAGAGAATGTGGTTTTGCACATTGCAATAAGACAAAAATAAACAAATGCGCATAAACTAACTCTCATTTGTTTTAAAATTTGGGCCTTATTTGACCTATTATATATATACATATAAAATATTTTAAAATATATTAGAATATTTCTGCATTAAAACTTTTAAAATAGAGTGAAAAGTAATGCTGATGCTAATACCTCGAGGGTTAGGCATTTTGGCCATTACAGTCCTGATAGTTTTCCTTTAATTCAATAGGAAATAAGCAATTTTCTAAGCTCTGAAGACCCTAGTGAAAAAGTCAGTTTTATATGACAAAAGAGAAGATTGAAAAAAATCATGGGTTGTTAAACAAACTTTATGATTTGCCACTGTGGGACTATTTTAAGAATAATACTTAATTCCCATATTTTCTCACTACAGTTTACACTCACTTTGCAGCCAAAGAAAAGAGAAGCAAGGCTAAAGCACAGAACTAAAATCACTTCTAAATATTTTGTATCATATATGTTAAAATCAAAACAAACTCCAACAGGATATTAAGCTGCACACTTATTATTGGAAACCTGGCCTGATTTGGGAAACAGTTCTTTAAGCACGCCAATAAAGATACTCAAGGCACTATACTCACCAGTATGAATCTTCTCATGTCTCTGTAGCAGGTACTTCTGTATGAAACGCATGTCGCATTGACTGCACTGAAATGGTTTTTCACCTTGAACAATATAATTCCACATCCATAAGTTAATAACTACAAACTGTTGTTTCTGATGATAACTTTGAGGAATAAAATAGTTGTCTATAAGAAACCAGCATCTGAGCGAATTCCAAAATAGTCTAATACCAAAAAATTTATCCCTACTAACTATATGGACTTAAAAATTCTCCCCATGAGTCACATTAACAAAAACATGGAGGAGTTGAAGCTGAAATGGCTGTAATTTCCTCAAGAACAAAATCAATCATGATGCTGGCATAAGTCTGCATTTTGGGTTCCGGCAAGCTATTATAATGGTAAGTTCCGTTTTCATTTCTCCGAACCAGAGATACCTCATCAGGCAGATAAGCATCTAGAGCACATTTTACAAAGGGGTCAATTTTGGCACTTAGGCTACAAGTCAACCCATTACTTTCTGATAAAGAAAGAAAAGAAACCTTGTAAACAGTTATATCCTCAGTTTAATGAACATATGTTGATATTTTTTCTGGTATTCTTTTGACACTTTGGTGCATGGAATCACTAAGCTTAGATGCCAAGTAACCTACACTCTTAGAACTGAAATTCGCATAGAGCTGAAAACAATTTTACTGTGAGTAAACAGATCTTTATATAGTAGAAAAGACAAGTGAAGTTAAGCAGTACCTGTATGAATGAAGACATGTCTCTGTAAATGGTAGTTGGTTCTAAAGGCAGCATTGCAATGCTCACAAACATGAGATTTGGGGGTTTTCAGACCAAGTGATCCATCCTCATTTATTGTAAGGATCTATTTTAAAAAAAGTAAAATTTGTTCTCACACTACCCACTAAAGATGTTTTATTAACTACAAAACAAAACATAAAATAAATTTGTAATGCAGAAAATTCAAATATTTCAGGTAAAAATAGTGCTAACTTCTATAAATCTACACCGACAGGATTTTGGTTTTACATTTGCAACAACCGCCTGTTCCAAACTTGTGTATCATCAGTTGTCAAGAGATATTTCCACCTGCTGGAGACAAAAGCAATTGATGGGAAAACCAGCTTACAGCTTCCCTATTCAGAGTGGAGTCACTTTAAATGTCAGTGTTTACTTTCTCCATCTGTTGGGAAGGAGGTAAAGTAACCAAATCATCTTTGGCACAGCACCACGGATGATCATATTTTAAAGGATAAGTGGAATGCTGTATGATCTTTGTGGAAATAAAGCAAGAATGTATGATTGTCAAGATGTATAAAAGCTTATCCCTGAGTAACCACATAACCTGTCTGCTACTGCACATCATAGCTAAAAATAAGACTGGACTAATAAAACTGTACTCCTGTCCAGTTACATATAAAATGTCAGTACAGAAGTATCAAAGTAACTCTTTAATTGTTTAGTTATTTTCCATTCTATTCCCTTAGCCTTGCTTTCTAATTCTTTGATATAATGTCATGGTACAGTATTTAGCAGGCTTTTATATCACTTTTGTATGCTAACTGGCCACAAGACAACCTCTCCCAATATTCTGTAATGTGGAGATAATAAAAAAACAAAAACAAAAAAAACCCCACCTTGGACCCCTCCTAACTCGTTCATCTTACAGAGCCCTTCCACACTTAGTGTATCCCTTGAGACGATCTCCCTGCCAAATTCAGCTTTCTACTTTCAATAATTTTGATGACCATAGTAGATTTTTTTTTAAAGTTGCAAGAATTTTTTAAAAACTAGGGAAAGTTCATTTCCACACCCCATTTGATACAGCTCAGTACAGTTTTGCTCAAACTTGCCCCAAAATAACACCATTGGGAAGAGACCAGCAGGAAAATGGCAGCCCAACAAATGAAATTTTCAGAAAGTTTTAGGTGACCGAAAACAGTGTTATAATAATGTGTTATAACGGAATAATCTCAAATAAATAGTGATTAGCTCTCTAACTATAAAAACCGAAGAGGAAAGCATGCTGTCACTCTAAATAGCCAGCATATTTTAACAGAACAAGCAAAAGAGCCATTCCATTGCTCTGCGATCGTTGATAAACTCAGTATTAACTGTTATTATAGGACCTACTTTGAAAAATGTTCCAATTTTACCTGCTCGTTCTGCTACAGCAGACTTCACAGACAGTTTAAGCTCTGATCTAGCACACACACTTGAAACCAATGGGATTACTCACATGTTTATCTATAAGCACATTCATATGTTTGCAGGGGCCTTACAGACATGTGAAGTCCCATGCTTATAAAATTATGTTCTGTAACAATATGCTACTACTTAAACTGACGCTGTCAGATATAAAAGTATATTTTATAAAACAATTAAATTTTATCACATGTATTATGTATATTATTGACATTTTAAAATAACCGCTGAAAACAGAAAAAATATTTCATATTCCTCCATTTTTCCTCTAAATTCTGGAATCTTTTTAATTAACTGCATTGTAGCTCCTCTTAAATGAAAAAAATCAGTTTTGCCAATGCGGTTTCACCAAAATGTAGTCCAAAAAATAATGGGGGTAAAAATGAATAAAAACTGTAGATTTTTCAAGTAGACAATTAATAAAAGGAAAATAGTACTGAAAATATTTCAATGTATTAAGTGACCTCCACACTTAAAACCCAGCTGTTGGATTGACAGCAAATCAAGACCAATATGCTGGGATTATGCCATGCCAATCCTTCTGCTCTTCCTGCCCTTCCTATTCTTATGGGCCAATAAAAGATTGATACAAAACCTGCTCAAGGATTTTCCTCAACGTTTTTCAATCCCTCTTCATCTCAAAAGAATGGAGCAGGCAGACAGGGAGATAGAGGAAGGAAGCATACATGAATGCCCATGAAGTCTTCTATAAGAGGGACACCCACCTCTCCCATCAAACAATACTCCCACAGATGTGGTCTCTGAGGAGAAAGGGTGAGGCATTCAAGCTGGATGCCCTTCATTATAAAAGAGAGAGGTGTGCTGCCATCAGGGACCCAAGAGCCTGGAACTTGCTCCCAAACTCTGTCTTAAATATTTATAATCTGTCAGCCCTTCAGGCATGCCACAAACGCCATCTATCTAAGAAGATTTGTGGGGAAGGTTATGGGATAGGTAACCCTGGGAAAAATGAAAAGGCTTGTTTTGTTTCAGGAGGGTTTTTTTGCACGGGGGGGGGGGGTAGAGAGGGCAGAGGAGATTTGCTGCTTTAATTTATTTGCTGGCTGGGCTGTTTCCTGAATACACTTATTTTTATGCTATTGTGTGGTCCTCTTTATGGGACTGTGATTTTACTTAATTGCTACAGCACCCGAGTGCTTTATTTTAATTGTTGCATAAATCCAAATAAAATAAATAATTAGCTTGGGTTTTAGTAGAAGAGGGCAAAACATTGCTGCAGCCCCCATTTGGATAGCTGATCCTGTTTTTGTCTTAACAAAAACGTGCCCCTTTGATATAGGAAAATCTAAACTCTCAGACTGTCACAGGGCAATACCGTCCTTCAGGACCCCCTCGTGGCACTGCAGGCACTCCCTGCCTCAGTTTCTCCTCCCCAGGAGTTTCTGTGTCTCCTGGGGTTCATGTGGCTCAGCCCTCTGGCTGGATCACTCTAAATTCAATCCCTCTTGAGGTAACAAGTCCAAACAAAAGTCCCAAAATTAACAAAAGGTACTCCCTGTTCACAGTCCCTGCTGGGTTACCTTTCAGCCTCTCTCTCTCTCTCCCTCCTTACGCAGGAGTCCCCAGTTTTCCTCCTTGGAGCTAAGCTATAAGTTATAACTGTCGGACCCTAGTCAGATTCTCCCTCAGCTGGCCCCTTTCCCCCCTAATTAGTCCCCATGCTCAGAGGTCTCAGCAGCCCAGCCTTCTCTTGCTGATGTCTGCCCAGCTATGAGGGAGGAGAGAGCATTTATGCTGGTCTGCATCTCCCAGCTCATCCTCAATTGGATGGATGACAGGAGAGCCTGGCCCCACCTCTCTCCAAGACTCCCCGCCCTTAAAGACACAGTGACGGAATTTCCTTGCAAGCACTACTTACTCCTGGAACCACTTCCTTTCTATCAATATCTTTTAGGACAGTCCTTATATTCTATATATAGGACCATTCAAAATCTTAAAAGGCCATGCCATCTGGCAGAGTGGGCTGACCCCTATGTGCCACTACATTTAAAGGGCAGGCTACCCAGTGACACAGGCAGATGTGTAAATTGCTATATCCCTCTTGACAGTAGATCTGGAAAACAAATTCTCAAAATAATGCAAAACAGTTATTATGAGAACTTCTAACACAAATAAGAATACTACTCGTAAGGGAATTCTGTGCCAAAAAATTAAAAATTCTGCAAATTTTGTTAAAACAACACAATATAATCTCACTATTTTCAATTATTTGCTGACAAATATTTGGAAATAATTTACCAAAATAATTGAAAATTGTGAGATTATATTGTTATTGTGTTACTGTTATTTTGCCAAATAAAATTATGCAGAATTTTAAAAATTTTATTTTTTTGGTGCAGAATTTTTAAATTTTGGTGCAGAATTCCCTCAAGAGTACCAGGGTTCTGTGTGGTACAATTTGGTGCGTGCAGCTCGGTGGGGGGTCCAGGAGGGATCTGGATGCAAAGGGAGGTGTTGGGGGGTTCTGGGTGCAGGGGGAATAGGAATCAACAGGGGAGTCCAGGTGAAGGCAGTTAGGGCTCAACAGGGGGTATGGGTGCTGGGGGGGGTGGGGCTTGGTGTGGTGGCGGTCAGGGTGCAGCTGTTCAGGGCTCAGTGGCGTGGGGGTCCGGTTGTGAGGAGCTCCCGATGCAGGGGGTAAGGCTCAGCAGGAAGGAGGTTCGGGAGGGATCGGTGGGGGGGTTCTGGGTGCAGGGGGCTCCTGATGCACGGGGAGAGTGGGGTGAGGCTCGGCAGGAGGGATTTTGGTGCGGGGGGGTCCAGATGCACAGGGGTTGGGCGGACAGGGGGAGCAGCTCCCCGTACAGTAGCTGAGGAGTGATGGGACCAGGAAGGGGGGGGGGAAAAGGGTCACTGTTGGGGGAGTGCTTCCCGTCCATGCAATTCCCATGCATCTGCACACACACACACACACACACACACCCCACTGTGCCTCACCCCCTGCACCCAGCCCCTCCCTCCAACTCTCCACCCTCAGTACAGAGCTTCCTACAGCCAGGGGAAGTTTCTAGGGTTGATCTGACCCAGTGCCGGCTGCTCCAGGCAGGGGAGGGGGAACTCTGTCTCTGTCGTCGTCGTCCTCCTTCCCGTGCCCAGCCGGGACTAACATCCTGGGGCAGCCAGGGCATCCTCAGACACGCCCCCCGCGGTGACTTTCCTCTCCCCTGACTGCTCAAACAGACCCTGCCAGAGAGGGGTGAGTGAGCATTGGTGCAGCTTCTCTTTGGTTCCCCATAGAAACCATTTGTCTGCAGAAAAGCAAAGAGAATCTGCGCAGGGACATGTTTCTGCATGCGTGCAGCAGCGCAGAATTTCCCCAAGAGTAGAATATATACAAAGACACTTAAATTTTAGGAATGCTCTCTACCAGCAGGTTATTTTACTAAATTTATGGATGAACACTTTTTAAAAATTTTGAAAACTCATTTTAGATTTGTTTTTAAACTGTTCTCAATGCATAAGGCACACAATAATTCTCAGGATCATAGAAAGGTACAACTATTATTAGATGAACATAGTGCAATGATTTATAACTTGTCCACAAAACTACTGACTCATAATTTAAAAAAAATATATTTGGAAAGGGAACTGCCTGGAGAGACAGATGTTAAAGTATGTCAAAGGTTCATGTTGCTAAAAGGAGTTCAAAGAAACACACTATGAATGCCTTATATCACGGTCTTCTCTGGACTCTGGAAAGCTCCAAAGTTACATCTTTACTGTGCAAATAAAACAACTTCAGACATAACTACTTCAAATTCTAATGAAATCAGTCAAAGTCATAGCAAATCTACAGGTTCTTTTCAAGCTTGGTTTTTCCAAAATCCGTCTTACCTTTGCTGGTGAACGCTGTTTTCTTTTCTTCTTTTTCTGCAAATCTACTGGCTCTCGTATTTGTTTTTTGTCTCTCTTCTGTTGTTCAGATGCATCAGTAAAAGTAATTTCTTGCTTTACACTGATCTGTTAAGATACAAAGTGCCAGTTTCAGGTGAGGCTCTCATTACAAAAGAGCAATTTTTCATTTTCAGATGACAAACGGCTGAAACAAAGGCTAAGATTTTTTCTGAAGGGATTGTCCCATGGTTTCATTCTTTCAGAAATTTAACAAAAAAGGGAGTAATCAATATCTTAAATGCAGAAAGGAAATAATTCTATACAGATTTACAGTTTGCTGTACCTCTTCATTCATCCAAAAAAATTTAGGCTTTTCTTTCTGACCTGTAGTGTTTCCTTGTGACTCCTAGTGTATATCAAAATCTCTCATATGTGCATATAATCACTCTTCCATTTGTTTCCTACCTATATGACTTTTGCCTGTCGTATTGTCAATGCCAGGATTTAACAGAAACAGATTAATTTACTACATATTTGAGCTAAAAAAATTTTTTAAAAAACCCCCAAAATACAGAGAATGAACTTTTTTTCCATTAATACTTCTTGATCTAATATCAACTTTATTAAAGATCATATTCTTAAATGTTCCTGGTATGTTTTCTAAACTGCCCAACAATCTCTGAACTTCAGTTAAAAGGAAAGCCCTCTCAATGTACAGTGTTTTAACAAAACTCCAGTTGAAAAAGACCATTCTTTCTTTTTACACCTATATAATTCATCTTTTTAAATCACTGACATTTCAGTAAACACCCAAACTTTACAGTAATAATGCATTGTTTTCAAATGGAAGCCATTTTTATTCTCCCTATGGTGGATGGAAGACACTTTCTATTAAATATCAAGGAAGACATATATGGGCATCTACAAAGTGTTATATGTTTGACCTGCAGCATGAATGCAAGCAATAGCTATCAAATGCTAAATTTCTATATGAGATATACTTTAAAAACATGTACAGAAATGCTTCAGGTGGCAAAAGGAAATGTGCTTTGCATAAAACAAATAAATCATCCAGGCCCTTTAAATAATATTACTTATCCTAGTTTATATTTGCTCTTTAAAATGTATTATTGTGTGGTTTTTTAAGTGTTTAATGTTAACCAGTCAATTCATATAGTAACAAAAACAATATAATTATCAATTTTTGTATAAATAAATGCTTATTATAAAAATGAAATATAGCTGGGTGAAACTCACCTCAATGCAAATGACCTACAAAAGGTTGTAACACACTTTTAAAACCACACTTAAGCTCATGAAGCTTGGTTTAAATGATGTATAGGGCCTTGTGTCGGCCCTCTAACTGAGATGAATTTCACCCAGTCAGCAGCTAAAGACATTTTCATAAATAGCATCTATTATTAATAAATATTTTTATAATCAAAATGCAAACAACTCATTAATATATTCCTAACATAACACAACAACATTACCAAACCATGCTTCCTAAATGAGTGTGCAATATTTCATGAATAAAATGCTTACAGGAACATTGACTGCATACTGTAGCCCTTGAGGAAGTCTATCTTGAGCCTCCAGCTCATCATCATTTTTTACCGTCTCCTCATGGACCATGAGTTCATCATGTGAAATCATCTCTTGCTGTCGAAGCTCACTTTCTTGTAACACTTCATCTGTTGTAAGAATTTCTTGATGTGCCATAGTCCGGTCTTGATGCACTGCTGCTTGCCGTTCCCCAGATACTGAAGACTGGTCAGATACTGCACCCATCCCTACCATAGCCCTGGATGACTGCATTTGGTCTATGCCACCACATTTAAGAAATAATCCTCCAAGTTTGTCTTCAATATTCATGCTTAAGTGCAATAGCCTACAAAGAGAAGTATAGCAAGTGAATATCTACAAATGGGCAAGTTATTTAAAAATTTACTTGACATTTAAAAAAAAAAAAAAAGGTTTTACAAAATAGAGTCAACAACACATGCCTTTCTTGTAAGTACTGTCCAGGGATTTCAATACTTCATCTTTGTTGTAATAAGCTAAAGGAGATCAATCTCTCTCTCTCCCTCTCTCTCTCTCTCTCTCTCTCTCTCACACACACACTTTTTCAAATAGGTTGTGGTTGTCTTTTGACTACCAATATAAAGGGGTGATACAGTAGTTATATGAATTGATAGCCAAAAGAAACTTAAATACATCCCCTACCCTTTAAAGGAAGCAAACTGCTTCCATTTTTTCTTCTCTGCCTCTCTTCCCCATCCCCTCCCCACCATTTTTTGTGCCTGATCCCTCTCCTGAAAATGCCTCCTTTCACTGTGTTCTCTCTTCTCCACTTCCCCCTTTTTGTATGTGCTGTCTCTCCTGTCACCACTGCCCCAGGCTACCAGAACAGCTTTATCGTCACAAGGGAGAGGAAGGAGAATTTTTTGGCTCTTCTTGGGCTGCTGTTATTGCATGTGAAGGAAGGAAGAGGAGTAGTTAAACATACTTATAGGGGGGCGATCACCTCCACACCCACTCTGACACTAGAGCATGAGTCAGGGTGTATGGGCTTAGACACTGCCACCATTAATAGTGCAAAAACATAGTAGGAAATAGGCAGTAGTTCATCATGCTGAGGGGGAGGCTCAGCTCCACCTCAGTTAGGCTTTTTAGCTAATTAGGCTCTGGGTCAGTTCTGTCCCTAATGTTCTAATTGACCAATTAAATAGCCAAAGAAGCCAAACCATCTTGCCCAGCAGTACAGAAGGGCTCTCCATCATCCCCTAAGAATTACACTGTGATGCCCTACAGCCAATTTAACATCCTGCTACTCGCAAAGCATACATTCCATCCACAAACTTGTATCAAACAGATCAACATGTAAGGTTTAAACTTCAGTTTTCAGTTTAAAAATAGAAAATATGTCTCAAAAAACACTTGCAGTGATTGAGAAAAATAATGAGGATTCTGGATTTATCCTAATTTCTAGTGAAGATTTGTTCATTTCACAAACCCACCACACAATCTGGCATGAAGGGCAGACTTGCCTCAAGTGGGGCCCACGAGCATTTGATGTTAGGAATGTGGTCCATTGACAGAACTGAGTGGTGAAGATTACACATTACTCATCTGCATTATATCTGAGTCCAGACAGTACTATTGGTAGTCCTGATTCTTGTGAATATTCAATTCACTCAAGCAAATTAAAACAGAATTAAAAATGTAGCCAACATTACCATTCTCCAGCATTAATCTAGTCAAGACAGGAGAGGATCTGTGCCTGCGCTATCACACAAGAGCAAGAATCTCTAACTCCTTGAATACGTCAGAGAGGTGGCTAATTTTTGAGCTGTGCAGGATTGTCTAATAATCCTCCCCCTTTTCAAGTTCAACTGCTCAACAGCCAAGTCAAAAGAGTGAAGCATGTTGGATATTCAAGATAAAGTGGACCTTGTACCAGTAAACTTTTCACTGCTGGAAGTCCGAATGGATTGACTACTGATGTATTCACTCAGCTTGACCCTAAATATGTAGGGCATTGACATCGTTAAAAGATTTAATGATGTGGCTTCATTTGCTTTTTGGGAGACACTGAAACCCAAGCTTCTGCACATAAAAGGTCAAAGGTATTTATAAATGAATAAGAAAGTAAAAAGGAACCAACAACCTTCAAAAATGTGGAAATATGAAAATGGAGGAATACACTTGAGACAAAAAAGTAAAGACTGATACTCCCCAAATCTACAACCTAACCTGTGAGGTAGCTGAAGAACAAGGCCTTTGATGAAACTAGAGAAGAGAGACTCCAACACATTTGCATGGAATTAATATTCCACTGAGCAATACCATACAAAAAGGGCTTACAGACCCTTTGTATTTTTCCAGAATAGATGTCCTCCTAGATTTCAACAAAAATGTTGAGAACTGTCATGTTAGAAGGGCTCGGTACACAAGATTCCATAAGTGTGAATATCAATGATTCAGAGACAGATGTTCCTGCGAGATGCAGAAACCATAGTCTGTAGGAGCAGTTTCGGGTGATGAGGATCAACAATCTTTTGTCTTTACTGGGGAAGGTAGCAAAGTCTCTCTGCAGGCCAGCCCATGTGAATAATATAATAATAAATGGAGATATACCTATCTCATAGAACTGGAAGGGACCCTGAAAGGTCATCGAGTCCAGTCCCCTGCCTTCACTAGCAGGACCAAGTACTGATTTTGCCCCAGATGCCTAAGTGGCCCCCTCAAGGATTGAACTCACAACCCTGGGTTTAGCAGGCCAATGCTCAAACCACTGAGCTATCCTGCCCCCCAAGATTGGAAAGCAGTTGTCCAATCTTGCTGTTGTCAAGAGTCTGGAACAAAGTAAAAGTTCAGAACTTTCATATTTGATAAAATTTGCAAACAAATCTGTTTGTGGAAGGAAGCACATCTGGATCAGGTAAATGAAGGTATTCTAAGTTTCCAATCTCGTGAGGAGAGTTCCTTCTAACTCTGCCAATCTGTTTGCCAGTTCAGCTTTGCTGGATCTCATATACTGCTAGAGATATAGGATTTTGAGACCTTTTCATTTAACTTTCTGCTTCTAGTGCCATCCTTACAGTAGACCAATTACTACCTTCTATATACATAGTGGATATTCTAGCAGGGATTTTGCAAAGAAGTGATCTGGCACCAATGGAGTACTCAGCGCTAAAGGACAGTTGGTTGAATCTGTTCTGAAATGGTCTGCAGAAACAAAGTTCAAAATTTGGATCTACTGACTCTGGAATAATATTGAAGGAGCATTATCTTATTAAGTTTCTGATGCTCTTTCAAACAGTCTGAAGCCATCAAACAGAACTTGTATCAGACTGCCCCACTAAGTGTGAAAAGAGCCAATCTGAGGCACTAAGGGACAATTTGAAAACTTTATCCTGCTAAACTCGGTAGTTTTTTTCTGATCAGACAGTATGTGCTTGGGAGGGATCTAGTCAGAACAGACTAGTGTCTCCAGGGATAGTTATATAAGCAACTTTGAAGCCTTTCTTATGCATCATCTTCAGGGCACTTCTCTTCAAATGAAGGGACACCGACTCTTCAATGTTTAAAGCAGGGTTAGGTTATCTCACCTAAGTTAAAAAGTATTTCCAGTTGTCTGAATCACGTATCACCAAAGAAGAGAATGAGAGTTCACCCTTTTCAAGGGATGAAGTGCACCAGGAATGTCACCAATGATCCCAGGGAGAGAAACTGTAATCCATAGAAATTTTTTTGGAGGTAACTGGGGTTTCATGGCAGTAGGGTGAAATAGTAGTTCTCCATCAATGCTGCTGAAGGTTTTCTGGAGAGGACTTGCAACAATAGACCACAGTAATCCTAAAATGAGAGGGAGATGGTTCAGTTGAAGGGGGCAGGATGATCTTAGGCCTCCACATGGGGGATTTGGACTCAAAGAAGAAAAGTGAGAGGGGACCCAAGTCTTTTAAGGAGAGCTCTCGCGTGTAGTACACTCCATGTTGGAGGCAGGGGGCTCAAATTCCCCATCCAAATGATAAAAAGACTGTAGAGATATAGAGATACCTCTGGCTTAGTCTCAGTACCGTGTAAGCCATGTGAATGGGAGGGAGTGAAAGCCCTGGCTAAGGCTAGCTTCCTGGAAGGGGTGTGCCCAAAGTCCTTTAAACATGTCTGACATGAGGGTGAGGGACTCCAAAGAAGCTGAACAAGAGAAATTTTAATCTTTATCCCAGGTGCGGACTATGCTGAACCTCAATCAGGGTATGTCCTACTTAAGTCATCTTTTGCTGTGCTTTTGCTCCATGCACAGAAAAATCAGATGCACAATATAAAATGGAGAGTAACTGGCTAGGCAGTAGTACTGCAAAAAAGGATCC